ATTACTCTCAACGTTAGTTTTAACATTCTAACGGTTTCTCGCAGACCAGATCTCTTTCTCTCTCTCTCTCTCTCTCTCTCTCTCTCTCTCTCTCGCTCTCGCTCTCGGCTCTCGCTCTTCGCTCCCGCTCTCTCTTCCTCTCTCTCTCTCTCTCTCTCTCTCTCTCTCTCTCTCTCTCTCTCTCTCTCTTCTCTCTCTCTCTCTCTCTCTCTTCTCCTCTCTCTCTCTCTTCCCTCATCTCTCTCTAATATATAATATATATATATATATATAATAATATATATATATATATTTATATATATACATTATATACCTCTATACACTGCATACGAGAAACATGTTTGTCATTGGTCTATGAGAAAAACTAAAAGGTTGTGACTAACGTTAACACTTATTTTGTTTCTGACAACGAAGCCTCCAGAGCACAGGCACTTGAGGCGTTCAATAAAATATAATGCAAAATAAATACGAAATCTATTTACTACAAAGTCTCAATGTTCTCTACTCCCTTTCGCCTATTATTGCCTGCAATTTGCTGTAAATGCCGTGCAATGCTCATCTGCAACACACATGTACACCGCATGCACGCTGCCGCACACGTTGCAAGAGGAGCAATTTGGACGGCATTTACATGAAATTGTCGCAATAAAGTCGAAAGAGAGTACAGAAATTGAGACTTTGGTAGTAAATAGATTCGTATTTATTTAGCATTATATTTTGAAACGCTCCAAGGTGCATGTGCCCCAGAGCGTCATCTAGAGAAGCGCAGCCATCCGTGTGGCGGGTGCAGACGATGAGCGGCATCGAGACAAATGGCTGCTGCATTATCGCCGCGCAACAACAACAGCAACAGCAAGCAGCACACAGCAGCAGCAGCCAGCAGCAGTAGTAGCAGTAGTAGTAGCAGCAGCCAGCAGGCCAGCAGCAGTAGCAAGCAGCAGCAGCAGCAGATGCGTCGCTGAAATGGCCGGAGGTTTCATAGTGAGTTGTTGGTTCGTTTACAATCATGTTACTACTGGCTGCTGCTGCTACTACTGCTGCTGCTGCTGGCTGCTACTACTGCTGCTGCTCTGCTGACGCTGCTGCTGCTGCGCTGCTACTGCTCTGCGCTTGCTGCTGCTATCTACTGCCTGCTGCTGGCTGCTACACTGCGCTGCTGCTGCTGCTGCTGCTGCTGCTGCTCTGCTGCTGCCTGCTGCTGCTA